AGTTTCATTTTGATCACCACCAATGCCATCTTTTCACTTTCTTTTAATTCAGGTAAAAAGGCTGTCCTCTTCCTTCAGTGAACCACTATTCACATTAACATTACATGACAAAGCGTCATCCTTTTCACCTTCATCCTTCTTTGAGTCATGTTTCTTTGACTCATCAATCCCATCACCCATCTTATCTTTCTTTGTTCCACCACTTTCTTGATCACCTCTATTCTTAATCTTAGATTCACCATTTTCTTGATATATCAACTTCATCCTTGTTCTCAACTTCTTTGTTTGATTCTTCTTCATTCTTCTTATCATCATCCTTCATTGATTCACCTATGTCCTCATTAATCTTCTTCGGTTCACCTTTCTCTTTGACAGCCTTAACAATTTCTTCTTTGCCTAATTCTCTTTGAGCTTCATTCCTGATCTCCTCATCAGGTTGCCTCTCTTCCTTTTTCTTGTCATCACCACATTCCTCTACACCCTTTGGATTCTCTAATCCACCATTTTCCTCCTTGCCATCCATCCTCACTTCATTTCCTTGTAATTCTGTTTTAGCTTCATTATTAACATCCTCACCTCTTCCCTTCAAATCACCATTTCCCTGTTCCCCATCAATAACATTCTCTGATTTTTGAGCACATTCCTCCTTCAGATCACCCCTAACCAGCACCTTCTCTTGAACATCATTACGTGCAACTTCGTCCATCTGGGTATTTTCTAATCTTTCTTCTTCACTAGCCATTGCTAAAACTTCTTTTGCTGAACAATTTGGAAAGAAAATGAGATCTAAGGTCAGGAAGAACACTGACCTGTCAATGCAGCCCTTTTTCCTCTTCAATCTTTGTGAGCAAATGCATTTCTTTGCCCTTGCATGCAATGGAAGTCAATCAAAACTTGTGGTACAAAATTTTTACTTGAGATTATTCAACAAAAAGTTTGGACAGATGTTTGTGATTTGGAAATCTCTTGATGTCCAAGTAATGTGATCCTTTTTTACCTTAACTAACAACAGTATTATGAAGCTATCTCAAGCTTCTTGTTGAACATATCCACAAACTTGTATTAATTCCTCCCTAATATATTAAAGCAACATGTGCTCACCATTATATTCAGTAAAATCTCGGAAAATAGTTTTTTAGGTGAAAAAACAAACAACACTAGGGTTTCGTTAATTATGATACTTTTTTTGTGAAGAGTAATTTTACTTATTTCAACCCTTTAATCACTTTTAGGTTTCATTTGTCAATGTTGTGCTATAATTATAAGTTCTTTTGTGTTTTATCATACTAAAAATACACAAAATGTTAACTAAAATTAGTAAAAGTATATAACAGATTAATTAAAATTAATTATAAATTAAAAATTTATATTTTTATATAAATTGTTATGTAAAAAATAATTTAAGAAGTATTGTCAAACAAAACCTTACCATATGAAGAATTCAAGTTCCTGGCTACTGATGCCATCAAGACCATTCCTGTCTGGATGTGGCTCCAAAAGAGTTTACAACTGCATTGAAAGAAAGTTCCGAAACCTCCATTCTCTCAAGAACTCGGCTGTTGGCATTGCATGGATGATCAAAAGCAAAATTTAGGGACTTTTGGTCATCATTTAATACTGCAGTTTCATTGTTTTCATTTTTCCCTCCCTGTTTCGTTTTGTCCTAACGATTAGAACGAACCGATTTTATGTACAAACTGGTTTGAGTCTTTAAATGTGACACAGATGCTCTCTTTTGTTATCCACAATTCTGTTAACTAATTTTACGATTTAACATCTAGAATTAAGAAAGAAAAGAATTAGCCTGTATCCCTTATTATTCTTTATCAACATGGAAGCTAAATACAAGATCATTCATGCGTCCTTTTTTGCCAAGACAGCTTTGGCAATTAGGCAAAATCCCTTTTTTTTGTCACCCCAATGGTAGACTGGTAGTCATTGGTTCATTTACCTCTACCAGAGAACTAATATTCAGAATTCATCAACAATATTTTCCAACGATGGCGGATCTCCAAACTAAACAAATGCGACTCAAAAATGACAACAAAGACCCGAAGTTTTGGAGACAAACTCTGTCATAACAAGTACTGTAACTGGCCACCTCCTGCCGCAAAAATTTGCAGCAGAGACGGGCCTTTTTGACAAT